TTAAGTGAACAGTAAAAATATTTTTTCTTACACTAAATCTTGATTTATCTTTAAATATGGAAGATACCATAGAAAGCAATGAAAAATCAAATTTCAAACAAATAAAGATGATAAAATAACCAAAGAGAAATAAAAGGACAAAAAGAAAAGTAAGAGTATCGCATCATTTTTTTCCATATTTGCTTTTTCAAAAAAACCAAACTCTTCTACATATAAAAGTACTTGCCCTTCTTTACGATTTCAAAAATTAAAAGAACTTAAAATTCAATAGGTTGGGACTAACTATGACTTTTTGTATTTAATATGATTTTGGAAACAGCAACCTTCATAAATAAATCCTTACATGTAATACTTTACATACAGTCTTCACATCGATATTAATCATGATGAAAAATTAAAATCAAAGAAAATCTATAAACCAAATAATAATCTGGCTTGCAAATATATATCATCTAGTTGTGATAGTACTGAAATCTTACTTTAAAAAATTCATAACTACCTAAAAGCATAGTCTAAATTCATGAATGAATTACCTAATAATAAATTGGCCTGAATCCAGACGAGATTAAGAAAAAAATCAAGAAAAAAGTCCTGAGGTTTATTTTTTTCTTGATTTAACCCTAATAATTGATACCAATCTGATCAAAAACATAGCAAGGAAATGTTACACAAACTGAATAACTGCCAATTTCTGTCTGCTAATTTGTATTTACATCTTTGTATGATTGAGAGATCAGTTTCAGGGATGTCATGTTAAATTTGAACTACAACCATCATGATTTAATAGATGTGTATTCTGTTTTCTTGTGGGTGATACATCAAAAGATGTTTCCTGGGTCTTTTAATTGGATAATTGTCTCCTGAAGAATAACAAATTAGCATCCTCAACAAACAGTATGAGTAGACTAAATGTACTTGGATAATGATGTCAATGTGCTCTTTCTGCATGTTCTGTGCATCTAGTACGATTGGACATGTTTAAAATAAGCTAGGTTCTAATTTAATTATGAATGTTTAATGTTTATTTACTAAGTCTTAGGATTTTTAATTTTTCAAATTGATTAGTCCTACACTTTCCACTCCTGAATAGAACTTAAATTTTTATTTTTATTTTCAAAGATCTTGACACTTTAACATTCAAAAACAAATGTACCCCCTGTTTTTCAGCTATTACATGTATATAGTACATTGCAAGTAATGAAGTCTATCTGTTTGAGTTTTTTTTTTTTTTCATTTGTACATTTTCCTATGTAGGATAAACAGCGAGAGGTTTGTAGTTCTAAATAATGCCAAATATAAAATTATGTTTTTGAAAATAAGGAGTTGTGGTATAATTGCCAAATACAAACAATCAACCAGAGACCAAAGGACGAGGATGACTATTGACTACCAAGTCAGGAATCTTGTCAGTAGTTGTCTTTGTTTATATCTGGATTTTTTTTTCAGTTCTTTAAAAAATCTAATGTCGATGGTAGATCTTTGATACCCTCTTTTTAATTCATTCAAAACTTGGTCTAGAATCAAGATGATTCAGAGCATAATAAATGGTGTGAACAAATGTTTACTGTTGAAGACTATATACATAGATATAAGAAGATGTGGTATGAGTGTCAATGAGACAACTCTCCATCCAAGTCAAAATTTATAAAAGTAAACCATTATAGGTCACAGTACGGTCTTCAACACGGAGCCTTGGCTCACACCGAACAGCAAGCTATAAAGGGCCCCAAAAATTACTAGTGTAAAACAATTCAAACGGGAAAACCAACGTTCTAATCTATACAAGAGGCTCTCAAGAGCCTGAATCGCTCACCTGTTATTTTTTTTCCTTAAATCTTTCATCAATGATTATTTTTGCTTTTTACCCATATGTTCTATTTTAGCAATAGTGTCTATGTTTCTTGATGTACAAGGAAATGAAATACAAAATTTATACTAGATTCATTTGAGAAGATTTTTAAAGTTAAAAAACATAAAACAACTTGTGTAAAATTGTCCTTAAAGGGCAATAACTCCTTAAGGGGTCAATTGACAATTTTGGTCATATAAACTTTTTTGTAGATCTTACTTTGCTGAACATTTTTGCTGTTTACAGTTTATCTTTATCTTCAATAATATTCAAGATAATAACCAAAAACTGAAAAATTTCCTTAAAACAACCAATTTAGTGGCAGCAACCCAACAATGGGTTGTTCGGTGTGTCTGAAAATTTCAGGGCTGATAGATCTTGACCTTTTGAACATTTTTACTCCATGTCAGATTTGCTTTAAATGCTTTAGTTTCTGAGATATAAGCCAAAAACTGCATTTCACCCCTATGTTCTATTTTTAGCCATGGCGGCCATGTTTGTTGATGGATCAAAATTTCAGATACAATTCATAAACTAGATTCCTAAAGTAACATTCATTCAAAGTTAAGAAGTATTAGGCACAACAGTTTCAGAAGAGAAGATTTTTAAATGTTAGCAAACTTGATGAATACATTGCGTAAAATTGTCTTTAAAGGGCAATAACTCCTTAAGGGGTCAATTGACAAATTTGCTCATTAAACTTTTCTGTAGATCTTACTTTGCTGAACATTATTGCTGTTTACAGTTTATATCTATCTATAATAATATTCAAGATAATAACAAAAAACTGCAAAATTTCCTCAAAACTACCAATTTAGTGGCAGCAACCCAACAATGGGTTGTTCGATTTGTCTGAAAATTTCAGCGCTGATAGATCTTGACCAATTGAACAATTTTGCCATGTCAGATTTGCTCTAAAAGCTTTAGTTTTGGAGATATAAGCCAAAAACTGCATTTGACCCCTATGTTCTATATTTAGCCATGGCGGCCATGTTTGTCGATGGATTAAAACTTCGGATACAATTTATAAACTAGATATCCTAAGAAACATTTAAATGAAGTTTGAAGGTATTTGGCCCAGTAGTTTCAGAGGAGAAGATTTTTAAATGTTAGCAAACTTGATGAACAAATTGTGTAAAATTGTCTTTAAATGGCAATAACTCCTTAAGGGGTCAATTGACAATTTTGGTCATATAAACTTTTTTGTAGATCTTACTTTGCTGAACATTATTGCTGTTTACAGTTTATATCTATCTATAATAATATTCAAGATAATAACAAAAAACTGCAAAATTTCCTTAAAACTACCAATTTAGTGGCAGCAACCCAACAATGAGTTGTTCGATTCGTCTGAAAATTTCAGGGCTGATAGATCTTGACCTTTTGAACATTTTTACCCCATGTCAGATTTGCTCTAAAAGCTTTAGTTTTTGAGATATTAGCAAAAAACTGCATTTGACCCCTATGTTCTATTTTTAGCCATGGCGGCCATGTTTGTCGATGGATCAAAACTTCGGATACAATTTATAAACTAGATACCCTAAGGAACATTTAGTTAAAGTTTGAAGGTATTTGGCCCAGTAGTTTCAGAGGATAAGATTTTTACGACGACAGACGACGGCGACAGACGACGACGACAAGTGATGGCATAAGCTCACATGGGAAGGGCCCCGGTGAGCTAATAAAAAACGAGAAACGAGAAACACTTATGAACCACATCAACAAACGACAACTACTGAACATCAGATTCCTTTCAAACAATTGCAGCAGGTTTAAACGTTTTAATGGTATCAAACCATCACCCTTATCTGAAACAATAGTGTAACATCACAACATAGAAAGACACACTATAATATATCAATTGAAATGGCATAACTCAATCAAAAGACATATTAACATGATTAACACCAGTGAACATACACTGAACAAATAAATTTGATCTATGATACAATGTAAAAACAAAATAAATAAACTAAGGGAAGAATAATAAAAGTAACATGTACCTTTACCTTTATTTTCCAGGTTTTGTGTTATTTATTTGCTGTTTGCTGACCTTTACCGAACATCTTTTGTACAAATGTACATGTATTACTGTTCTTTCAAGTTATAAAAACCAGTTTCATAATTTTAAAACCTTTATGAAAAAGATCAAGATTTGCTTCAAAAGAAATTTACATACAATGGTTTCATTATATTATCAGTATAATAACAAATACTTCTATGCAGCTGCAACTTTTGTAATTTTTAAATGTTATATTATATTAGTTTTTATAACAAACAATGAAGGAAAACAAAGAAATGACATTTTCAACTGATAATAAATAATAGTGAGAAAACTTGTTACATTTGACAGATAGTAGATACAATTTGGTATTTGTTTTGGAGTTAACAACATATACATTGGTATTATGGTATGTATAATTTAAAACAAAAAAAGGTTTAATAAATAAACTTCAATATAATCATTAACATGTTTAATGTCACATGTATTAACCAGCTACATAAACATTATAAACCATGAAACTTTGCGGTCTTTTCCCATAATGCTGCTAATGAATGGTAATGGCCATGACTTTTTCCCCCTTAAATTTTTCATGTATATACATATATATTGTTGGAGGGGTTTAAATACAGCACAAACAACATTTTCCAAAAGACCAAAAAAGTGAAAAAGTATATTTTAACAAAACTCATTTGACTAACAGTTCGAACAACAAATGTTCTTAAACCCTGCTGACTGACATTGGCGATTGCCAAATAAACGGATCACCGATGTAATAAATGGATCTTAATTTTAAATTTAATACTTAAACAGAAAACTATAAACTTGCGGAAAAGATGATATACCGCAAACAAAAGGTGCAAAGGTTTTTGTACACCGTATCCGGATTTCGACAAATAATGTCTCTTCAGTGATGTTAGGAATTGAAACGGTATTTGGAAAGCCCAACAATTTACCTCAATTTAGGATATATTGTTGTATATTGTCAGTATTAGAGTAGTTCTAAGTATTTCAATCTTAGTAGGACAACATAGAGCTAACACAATTCCTTTTTATCCAAGTATCTGTTATGTTTAACTATATCATCCCAAACATGACAAGTTAAATGATGAAGGAGAGGAGGACACTTGTAACAGAGTTAACACTTACCTTCAAACTGTGAAATATGATCTAATATCAACTTTTTTAAAAAGGCAGTTTTAGAATGTACACTGTCTTTAAGATATTTCTTTGCTGCAATAACATAATGTTGTTCACTTGCTTTAGAACAACATGACAGTCTTGTTGGATCTCTTAATGGATCAAAGCAGATCTTGATTTCATTATCTACAAGTAAAAGAAAATTATACCTATTACATTTTACCATGATTACATGATCCTAACATGGTACAGTTTCTACATCTTTAAAAAAAAACAATTTCACATGGGTTCTGCATCAATTCAAGATTAATGAGAAAAGTATCTTATCTCCAAATAAATAAAAAGTACTTAAGGGTTGGTTTGATTTATTTAATGTCAATTTCCATACATTCATTGATTTGAAAACTCAAAAGCTTAGACTAAGCCTCTGAAACATTCATAAAGATTATTTATTTTTTACATTTATATTTTAATCATAAATGAATAATACTGGAACCTTTGGGATTTGTGTCTATTTCAAACAGTAGCCTCGCTGTCTATTATCAAAAAATAGTTTTCCTTGTTGCCAAATTACTTAAAATAGCTAAATGGAAAAATATAACACTTCTGATTTTCGATTTAAGAATTCCATTTTCCTAAACTCTTCATGCTCACTGAATTTAGAGTAGATGTAGCATAGTAAAGTATACAAGATAAGGGTAGGGACAAATACATCAACGTAACAATATTACATAACTGTGACAATCCAATTTTATTTACAATGCGTCCCAATGTAGAAAAAGTTATTTACACAACTGTATATTTAATCTTATTACTGTATCTATATGCAACCTGTCTGATGCAGTTGATATTTGCTCTACAAGTATGTACTAAAAATAAATATCTATAACATGTGCTTTGAAAACAGTTTCCAGCGATAAAAAGGGGACAGTTTCAACAAATTAATGTGATAGTATTCCTAAATGTTTACTTAAAACCATTCTGACATAAGGGATTCAAATCAATATCTCTTTGATAAGTGCCTAGAAGTACAATCAATTTTAGTAGATATAAGCAAGCTATTCGTTTCAATATATTAGTGATGAACCCAAAGGAATTGCTTGGAGTCATTCCTCCTTTTTATATGTTTTTTCTCTTAAAATCATGTAAAAATTAGCAAAAATAAGTAACATGAAGTGAACATCCATCTTTCTCCATGAGTACGAACGTGTGTCAGACTGTGAGTACAAACCTCAGACTAGGGCCCAGTTCAAAAGATACTGGATCACTTTTAAATTACAAAGATTCTTTTGACTAACTTAAAAATAAACTATTGATAAAATCCATAATTTGGATTGTTGATAAAACATTACAATAAAAAATAATACAAGAAATTGCATACTGAAGCATTAATCAAAGAGTAAATTATAAATTATCCTTTATAATCCTCTTTGAGATCTTTCACCATGATCTGGCCTCAAGTTATCAATAACCTTGACTAAATTTTGTTTCAAATTTGATACTGACAATTGTTCTAAACTTTCTTTTGAGTCTTTTTGTTTCCCAGAAAGTATCTTTTTATTGTGGTTTGCACACTATGGCTTTAAAACAAATATCAGTTTGATCACCAAATGCACAGACAAATACAAAAAACAAAAAAGATTTTCATTCAAATTCCTAAAAAAAATTGAAATATTTATAATTAGAGATAAAAATTCAATAGAATCGAATGTTCAAGTAAATCAATAGAACCAACATACAAACAATAGACAAGCCTGTAAAAATATTATCAACTGATCAAGGAAATTTTTTAATAAATCCAGTCACATGCATGTATATCAATTATCTTTTGAAACTGGAGTCACAAGTGCATATTTCTTCATTTCATAGGCATGTTATCTTTTAGGTTATTTAAATACCAGAAAAAAAGGAAACTATTGGAACATGACATTCCATTTGACACCTTTGGCCACCCATAAATTGCACCTGTCTACCTGTAATCATCTTTTACAGTGTGTGAATTAATTATCTGGCAGCACTAATACAATTAATTGGATAATAAGCTTATGATTTAATTATATGTGTTTTGTTTGTTTAATGGCTATGTACAGGTAGGTATATTCCCTTTGAAGATTAATCCGTAAGTTACACGCGTTTATCTCAAACAATCACATGTTCACACCTGAAAAAGTGATTTTATTCACATAATCTCTCTTTCTTAAAAAGAAAAAAAAAACTTACCGTGGATTGTAAAATTTGGGACCAATTCTGGAGGTCCAATTTTTCGATTCTGGAATTCTGTTCGCACAGGATTACAGTTTTTTTCTGCTAAAATCGAATCTAAAAATCCGAACAAAAGCACACAACACAGGTATTGAAAGTTTATTTTATAATCCATGATGAATTAAACGTCCTCGATCCTTCTTCGTAAATAAACTAAACTACCCTCTTACAAACTGCAGAAAATATTCCAATAAAACTACATTTTTATTTGATGGTATTACATGTGAAACATTACCACACTACTTCTCAGCTGTTTCACTATATTGTGTATTGCCTGCTACCTGTCGAAAACTGAGTAATTATAACTGTGATGTAAAACCACTTCTGATTGGTTGAATTTTAAATCAAAGTACTGAACGTACTGATCTGTAGCAAGGTTTTTAGCATGTTATAAATTTATATACCTATTCAAATTGAAATGATTGGATCATACCTATCTTTTGTTTTATTTTTTCACTGTACTTATTTCAAACTTAACAAGATATTACAAGTAAATAATGCTTCACCTTTATATTAGAATATAAACTTAAAGCGGCTTTCGCCCACGCACTTATAACAATGGTCACACCAATGATTAATCAATGAAACTTTTCCCCGAAGTGCTTTTCCCACACTAATTCTAAAAGTTGTTTCAGTTTAAGTATCTGACATCATCAGTCAATTTCAGCGAAAAAGGGTAAACCAATTAAAGTAACAACAATAACAGAAAATGAAAAACAAAAAAAAACAAAAAAAAAACAAACAACAGAATGATTTAAGGCAAACAAAAGAGAAAATAAAGAAGACACATCTGACTGCAAACAAAAAAGTTTACTATGTTATTGTATCTTTACGTTAAAATCACCAAAGGACAGAAAAGAAAAAGAGAAATAGAAAAAGAGAAAAAAAAATCAAAAACAAAAGACTTCTGACTGACTTATAATTCCAGGCGGTCAATATTACACCACAGTGTTACATTACTGTCAAGGGAAATTATTTCTATTTTATGCTTAAATTATTACTTTTATTTTAATTCGTTTGGTAATTTTTGTGTCTCCAATTTAGAAAAACATCATAAATTGTAATTAATTAGTGTAAACTTTTATTTGCAAATCTCTCCCACATTTTCATTTTATTATCTCATTGTAATTGTAATTTTGTTTACAGAAAGAAAAAAAAACAACCAGATAATCTTCTGATTTACTAAAAAAAATATGTGGACAAATTTAAAGAATTTGATAAGGTAGGTGGTAACTTTGATGACTTCCAAACTTTCCAAAGTAGACAAATCCATGATATTGTTTGTAAGTTTCAATACATTTTTATACTAAAACATTTCTTTTACTTTCTGAAATGTCGAATTAAGTATTTCAAATGTACTCACAATACCAAACATTTTTTTTGTTTCATTTAAACTTGTGGCACGTGAACTTCCGAATTGCCGGAACTTGGACCCCTTTTTCTCTTTCCTTTTTTTAAGAGTAAGATCACATTAAAAAAGTTAAAAAAAAATTAAAAAAATTCTAAAAATAACTATACATAAAAAAGTAAACAAAAAAAGGGGAGTGTCTATATGTCCAAAGGATTCGGGCCGCGTTCAACGACATAACTAAAGAACGGTAACTGTAGCAAGACTGAAATCGATCTTGACGTGTTTTCATGATATGCATAGTATATAATAATGTTGATTATAATGATATTATTCTTCAAAATAAACATATGCCCGCATACACGCTTACTAACACATGTAACCCGACTATTGGTTTTTTCTTTTGAACTGATTCACATCTTGTGATTCCAGGGTCTTTTATAGCTTACTATACGCCATGGTTGCTCAATGTTGAAGGCAGTAGGGTGACCTATAATTGTTTATTTCCTTGTCCTTCGGTCTCTGGTAGATAAACACATTACAAAGAGAATTCAAGTATACAAGTTTGAATTTAAAGTAGATGTGGGTATACATATCCATGTGTTTATATGTCAAGCTCTTAATAAATCGCCATGGGTCTAGACTACCAATAGTTATGCATTAGATAAACAGTTATTTCAACGTATTTCATGAAATTGTTTATTTTGTAGAATTCCGCCTCCTGTATATAACTAGAGGCTCTAAAGAGCCTATGTCGCTCACCTTGGTCTATGTGCATATTCAACAAAGGACACTTTCCAACATTGTAGACGAGAATAGAATTCATGACAAAAATCTCTGTTTTGTTCATCTTGTAATGGTGATTATTTATTCTGTTTAGTTTCTCTCTATCTTCTTTAGTTTTTGCTCAAAACACAGAAGAAGGTAAAAAAAATCCTCCTTTTAGGGCAATCACTCCAATAAAGAGTGACAGTCTACTACCTACATCGGCAAAATTTGACTTGTTAGTAGATCTTGCCTTGCTGATCATTTTTGTGATTTAAAGTGTCTATTTATCTATTATAATTTTTATCATGTAAGACAAAACGCAAAAAAAATGGTAAAAATCGTCATTAAAGGGCAATAATTCCAATAAGGTGTCGTCGGACGATTTTCTCTATATTGTCTTTATTGTAGATCTTGTCTTGCTGATCATTTTTGCTTATTTCAGATTCTATCTATCTATTATAATTTTCATGATATAAGGCAAAACGCAAAATAATTGTAAAAATCATCAAAGGGCAATAACTCTAATAAGGAGTCTGCTGACGATTTCGACCATGTAAAACATATTTGGAGAATTACCTTGTCTTGTTGATCATTTTAGCAATTTAAAGTTTCTCTCTATCTATTATAGTTTTCAAGATAATAGGCAAAAATAAAAAAAAATGGTAAAATTTGTCATTTAAGGGCAATAACTCCTATAAGAAGTCGTCTGACAGTTTGGACGTATATAGACAATTGGTAGAGCTCAACATTCTGAACATTTCCGATTTGTAAGATTTTCTCTATTTATAACGGTTTTCAAAATAATAGACAAAACTTGCATTTTACCCGCCTATGTTCTATTTTTAGTCATGGCGGCCATCTTGGTTGGCAGGCGGGGCCATAGGACTCATTTTTAAACTAAACACCCAAATGATGATTGTGGCCAAGCTTGGTTAAATTTGGCTTAGTAGATTCAGAGGAGAAGATTGTTGTAAAAGTTAACAGACGACGACGACGGACGACGGACGCCAAGTGATGAGAAAAGCTCACAGGTGAGCTAAAATACGAAGATGTGGTATAATTGCCAATGAGACAACTCTCCACCAGAGACCATATAGAAGTTAACAGCTACAGTCACCGTCTTCAACAATGAGCAAAACCCATATGTATGAAATATATGCTACTGGACGTTATGCAAACACGACTGATAAATAATCCATTTAATGTTTTACTTTTAGTCATGGCGACATTGTTGGTTGTCTATATTAATTATGATTTAAGGTGAATTTGCTTTTTAGGGGGATCAGGCCATAGTCGTTCCTTTTGATGCCTTTCTTTCACAGGAGAACATTATGAATATGTTAAGTGGAAGATGGAAAGGCGACAAAAAGAAGGAGGAAAATCAAAAAGCTAATTGTTTCATGATATCATTAAATACATAAAATGTTTTAACACCTATTAGGTACATCCAAAGCAAGAAGTTTTTAAAGCAAAAATACATAAATATCTTCGGTAGCATAAAATCTAAAAAATGCCTAAACATACAGGGTGATTTGAAAATGTCCATATCATTGTCCTTTTGGTTTTTTGTTGAATAGTTTTCTTATAGTCTTTGAATGAATACTTTATTCTCATAAAACAAAATGTTACAGAGAACATATAAATATTAACAATGTAAAAATACGTAGTGCATGTGTGAAATAAATATACAATAAAGAATAATACTAGTCTGTTAAAGAGCTCATCGGAGCTCATATTTCATTGTTATTGTGTACATATATGCCGACCCCAAATAAAATTTTACTTTTTTTTTTAGTTTGAAAAATGATGCAAGCAGACAAATCGAATAACACGAGATTTTCAAATGAACGCAGCTAAAGCATGGGACTTACAACCTTACAATAGTATATTTGATAAGTAATTTCTCTTTTTTTCATCTTTATCTTTTTATTTTTCGAAATAAATGTTGTCATATACTGTCAGGTTGGATACTGAAGGCACCCTAATACATCAATCATAATTTTTGTTTGGCCTAACCTGACTTCTAATTTTTTCATTCATATTTCATACTAAATGATGGGAAAATGATTGAATGAAATGACGTAAAAATCAACCTTTCGGAAACCACATCCGACTTAGAATTCAATCGATGTGAACGATAAAGAAAACACTTGGTTAATAATCTCATAAGCATTTTAATTGAAAATGCATTCTTTATTGCACTTTCAATTGAGATGCACCGATTTGGCACTAAAACATATTGAAATCTATCTTTATTTATAAATTAGCGTGCACATGATACACATTCGCGTGTAGTTAATCGGTTAATTTTTTTCACTCTATTTTTTTTTATGTTTATTATTCTAGAGATACAGGAAGGGATAATATTTTTCGAATCAACTTTCATGGTTTTTAAAAATTATGTTCTCTTCAATGTACTGTTTTCTCATGATAAACTTGTTTAACTCCTGTCAGTGGCTCTTTTTAAATACAAAAAATATCATGAACAAAAGAAAAAAAAAATCACCTTAAAACATTATCAATGCTACATCTGTAATACTCGGATCCCTAGTCCTGTACGAATGGCTTTTTTGCGCTTAATTTCCTATCAAATGCGCATTTCGACAATCAATGTCTCTTCGGTGAATATTTGAAAATTTAAAGCTTATTAAATAGATGAAAAGCTATAAATCAAAAAGGACAAAAAAGTAAAGCCATAGCCATATAAGGAATTTTCAATTTTGCATGAGAGAGATATATTCCTTTATTTAAAACAATATCCAAAATTTTGTAACAGCAAATTTTGAAAACACAAAATCCGTATTTTCATGCCAGTTCCGAAGTACTGGCTACTGGGCTGGTGATACCCTCGGTGACTTTTATAGAAATCAAGACACAACTATATACGAGATGAGAAACACAGTTGTTCTCATTAATATTCCGACTGTATTTTGGAGAAGAAGACAGAAGATATGTATAACAAATAAATATGGTATCGATATGAAAATAAAATAACCAGCAAGTATGAGATAACCTTTTTAGTTGTTTTTAAAAATAAATCTTAAAACAAAGTAAGAATTGTGCTTTCTTTTAACAAAGCACTTGGTTGTAGTGTTTGTTGTTTGTTGTCTATTCTAAAACAAAAAAATAGTTTCTTTGGAAACCTTGTCCAAGTTGATTGCTCTGACGTCTGACGATCTTTTAGATTTTGTCCCACTA